GTGGACACAAGGCGCACAGCAGCGCATTCACTGTGGGCAGTCCACAGCACCAGACAATTTCTCTCTTCTCAAATAAATTGTCCTTTTTTCAGGATCGCCAGTCTCCCGTGAGTCCTAGTCCAAGTCTCTCTCTCTCTCTGCCGCCGGTTTATAAGTGCTCACCACACTATAAATCTCCAACATTCTCACACTCATAGCCTACTAGCCGAGACTCCTCCTTTATGTGTACAGATGTGACGTATTGACACAAAGACATGCTCGAATCTCCCGCGGAAATCCACCAGTACCACTGGAATTATTACATTATTACAAACTTACCGCTTTCATTCGAGCTATGGCAAGCAGAAAGATTTGAACACTTGCAGGTTACTTGCTCAGAATTTCATTTTGGATAATTTTTACCCCAAAAAAGTTTCGGACTGCAGCTTTAAATAATTAAAGTAATGTGGTTCAGATAGCTAACATATTTTCTGTGTTTCTGTAGATTAAACCAATCATCTTTGTTTGAATGAACTTGCTTTATTTTGTTTGCTTTATTCTGTTTGTTAACTCATTTTAAGTTAAACCAACAATCATGTTTTACAGTGTATGTTTTTAATTTAACCTTCTCCTTTGAAAAACTTTGATCAGTTCAGGAATAGTATATGCAATTTTATATCATTCATTTGATAGAAATAAAAGAGAAGTGTCATGTCTTTGAAGACATGACACAAAACAATGGCACTGACATATTTTAAGATACAGTAGTGCAAGTTGATTTCAGGTAAAACAACCCAAAAATGCATTTTAGTCTGGGACTAGGCTTAAATAGTAAGAAACCTGCTTTAAATGTGTTATGTTCAGGAAAAACGTAATAGCACTGCAATAGTATTACGTTAAGGACAAACGTAATAGCACTGCTTATATGTTGGCATGTAACGTAATTACGATTTGCAAAATAGTTTCCTCAGAACGTATTTCGTGTGATACACAGTTGCAACATATGGTCACCCATGGGCACTATGACAATAAAAAAAATGACATGAGTGAGCATTCTGTCCTTTTAATGATTGCATTTTATTGCATCATGTCCTGTTTTTGTTCAGTTTTCATGTCTTTGGTCTATTTCAGTCGAACCGCAGTTTGTTTGGAAGCGAACCAAGACCCACATTTTCAGTGGTCTCAGATGATAGAGTTCACACTTTATAACAATGAACTGCAGTAACAAAGCAATTAGACCATGGGTTAGTTTTAATCAAACCAAATCTACCAAGTGTGAACACCCTAAATCAGTCGGCAGACTAACCAGACCTGTGGTTTTAAAAAAAAATGCTTGTTAATGATTTTGCTGCCGGATGTTTTTGATGAAGTTTATGTCTGTAGCTACATTTTGAATAGAACATTTTAATAAACAAACCTTGATGGCCCTGAGTGAACTGATGGAAGAGGCTTTCTACACATAATATATAAATTAATATGAGAATATGTACTACTATCAAAACACCAACAACATTAATGCATTAATAGGCAAGACTTCCAATCAGGTGTATAATGGAAGAGGATAGAAATGGAAGGGGGAGAAAAAAAAAGAGGCAATGATGAATCACCAAAGATAAGCGCACAAATAGAATTAGAAGCCATTAAGAGACAACAGATAATTATCACATCTTGCTGTCAATCACGACTCATCCAAAGAAAAGGGAACCAAAGAGAGAGAGAGAGAGAGAATGTGCACTCGTGGAACATTTATTTTATTTATTTATATATTTATTAGTCTAAAAAGTCTCAGGTAACACTGATCGTCCGGCTACTGAAGGACGTTTCATAAATAGCAGCATTTTGGCAGTTCATCACAATGAACCATGATATTACAGGTCGTGTCTCCGCGCTCAGGTTTTCAGTCACGCTCCTCTGCTCAGATCTTCATTTGTCCTTTATAAAAAAATACCCAGGCTGATTGACAGCACCTGGAAATGAGGTCGTGTATCATTCTTACATCACAACGCATCATCACCGACATCACAAGCACTCCCAAGTGTGGAACATTAACCGTCCGTTAGAAGACACCAGAAGTCAACTACAGTCAAAGAGGACGGAGGACAAACTGGGAAGCATGTCAAACTCGGACGGTTTAACCTTTATTTGACAGGAGCGAGGTCCAGAAACAAGTCTCTTTTACAGGATTGTCTTTACAGTGAAACCTACGAAGAGATAGTGAATTATAGGCTAATGTAGCCTACTCGGTATAGCAAAATAATAAAATATTCACACTCTGCCACACTAAATAGGTCTGTTCAAACAACAATGTTCAAATGTATGAATAAATAAAATACCATTTTATTATTTAAAGTCTAAGTGTACATAATATTTAAAATGAAATTATTTACTCATATTAATATTATATTATTAATATTTACTACTCTTGCTTACATCTCTTGACATTTGCTATTGAAACAAGAAGACAGACAGGCAGACAGACTAGATAGATAGATAGATAGATAGATAGATAGATAGATAGATAGATAGATAGGATTTTGTTTGTTAAAGGGGTCATGAACTGGCTTTTTAAATGTTATTATATTGTTGTCTGAGGTCAACTTATAACGTTCGCTTGGTTTTTGCATTCAAAAACATCAAAATGAACAAGTAATAGGCTATTTTGTACCCTGGTTGTGAGCCTTCCTGAAAAACAGTCGGTTTTTATGGGCGTGTCGCACTGAAGACTTGGAAGTAAACACCCACTGCGGTTTAACTCACCCGTCGGTGCACATGGGGGAAAACGTCCTATGTTGTAAAATGGCAACCGGATTCGCCCATACATGTTCAACCCAGAGTCTGTGTGTTGCACAATATTCCTGTCAGATCCAATATAGACGGCACAGCACCGTTCTTTACTCTTAATCGGTCTGCAAATCCAGTCTTGTTGACAAAACAATCCTCAGTGAAATGAAGCGAACAGACGACGATGTTTTACCTCATCAGCTGGAACGTCATTAAAAATAAATTTTATCCATGCAGTCCTATTGGAATCCACAGGAAGCTTATGCAGCGACTGTCTTGCACAACCAGGCACTGCACAATATTCTGTATTGCTCGGTAGCGATCCAGTTTGTCATCACGAGGTAAGCATGTACATGTATGATACTTATGTGTGTAATGCGCGAATCAGTGGGCGGGGCTAAACCTGCCATGGTGAAGCAGGCGTTGATCATCTTCTGTGGGGGTGGTGTTTTATCCTCTTTGTCGTCATAGTTCCCCACTTTTAAAAACGAGTCGTTTTTAGAGGCTGTGTCAATAAAAGCTTTTACTGGACTAACAAGGACGTTTTCAGTTCTGAAACTTACAGGATATTCTTATAATATGATGACCTCTTAGATGTCAAAAGCTCAAGGAAAATTTGATTTCTCAGTTCATCACCCCTTTAAATAAAATGACATTTTACACAGCGAGCTTCTTTTATGACACACCACACTTCTCACTGATAATGCATGGGATATACAGACGGTGAATGCGTCACACAGTGAGCTGAGCTCTGGAGAGAATATCAAGTGCTCTATAGAGAGAGGATGAAGCGTACTGTTGAGGGACAGGCAACGGAAATGAAATGTTTCTGTTGCTGAAGCACAGCGGTGTTTTGAGGGCAAACAAGACTTCTGATAAATAGCAAGCCTTTTGTCTGATATATTTCCCAACTCAGACACTTCCAAACTTTAAGATGAACAATAAAGCGCAATTACACATGGTCATCTAGAACATGGTCATCTTTAACTTTATAGAGTAGATAGCAGGGTGATAAAAAAGGATGTGTTCCTGGACCAACATCACCTTCATATACTCTTCCCGGAACAACATTCCTGCCAAACAGACCTCCCAAACTCCATAATTCACACAACGATGAAAGTCATCTCATCATTTACACACCCTCATGCCATTCCAAACCTTTATGACTTTCTTCTGTGGACAACAAAAGATCAATTATGTGAAAAAAACAACAGCACACAGAAATTGCGAAAGACTGTTTCGCATACCAAAATAGTAACCAGTACGCTGTGTAACTTGCAATTAAAGTGTCAGTTCACCCAAAAATGAAAATTATGTCATTATTTACTCACCCTCATGTTGTTCCAAACCTCTATGTGTTTATTTGTTCTGCTGAACACAAAGGAAGATATTTGGAAGAATGTTTTAATCAAACAGATCTCATTCCCCATTGACTTGTAGGAAAAAATACATACTATGGTAGTCAATGGGGATTGAGATCTGTTTGATTAAAACATTCTTTCAAAGATCTTCCTTTGTGTTCAGCAGAACAAATAAACACATAGAGGTTTGGAACAACATGAGGGTGAGTAAATACTGACAGAATTTTCATTTTTGGGTGAACTAACCCTTTAAAGAAGTTGCTATTGTCTTTTCTTCCCTATAATGTAGGGCAACCCGGTCTCACCCCAAGACGTCATATAACTGACGTTTTGGGACGTCTTTTGACCATACGTCAATATTCGCCTTTTTAGGGCCCCCTTAAACGTCGGTAGATGAGGTTATGGGATCCTAACTCTACCCCATACCTAAACTTAACCCTAAACCTAACCCGTCACCTAACTGACGTTAAAGGTAAAGCGTCAGTTGTATGACGGCCCGGGATCGCCATCTACCGACGTTTAAGGGGGCCCTAAAAAGGCGGATATTGACGTATGGTCAAAATACGTCCCAAAACGTCAGTTATATGACGATTTGGGATGAGACTGTGTTATGTAGGGCGGGACTTGATTTTGCCCATTGAGAATTGATTGGATGGTTGTGGTTTGCTATTGGTGGATCTCATATGAGTGACAGGTTGCCCCTCCCTCACACCAGTAAACACATCATCAGAGACAGAGGAATGTTGCTGCAAGAGGGAAGGGAAGTTATTTTGATTAAAATTACGAGAGCACATGAATTAAAAAAAATAAAGATGTACACGGATAAATCATTTATAATAAGCACTGCAAAATTCCATAAAAAACAAGAATCATCCATTTTTGATTTCATGGTGACTTTAATAATTTAACAAATCAAAAAAGGCTGACATAGTAGCAGCGCTCACAGAGATGTCTCCACACTATCACAACTATTATTATGGTTTGCCTGTAGAATATGAAATTTATATAAAAAGTTTTATTTAATGTTCAAATAAATCAGTGAAATGACAGCTGCTAATAGAAGTACAAGAGGACTGATAAAATGGTTTATGACAAATGGTTTAATGCATCATAGAGCATGAGTGACACATGCAGGGACTTTCATGCATCCGTTTCATTTGCCTTTCTTCTTCTGTTGTTCCTGGAAGAAGTCATTGCACGCAACCGTCAGCGCCGCCACCAGCACGACAAACTCGTTAAAGTCGACTTCGTTATCCTTGTTGGAGTCCAGATCGTTCATGATCTTTTCAACCAGCATTGGGTCCTTCTGAGACTAAACAAAGAGAGGATAAACAAAACAACTCAGAACAGCATGTCATATATCCGTTGTATATTGTGCATTTACAAATCAATTAATCTGGTCTTGGATGCCGATTGGTCAAATCAACGTTCCAGTCATGCTAAAATAAGATGTTTTATTTTTTATTTATTATTTAATATATAATATATATGTATTACAATTTTATCAAATAAAAGTATTTTTTTAATAAATCATATGTATCAATAAATGCATAAAAATCATTTAACAACAATAAACACACATATATATATAAATGTGAACAAACATAAAGTTATTATATAAAGAACCTTTTCACATTTTATGTTGAAGTCTTATTTAAATAATTTTTAATATATATTAATATTCATAAATTAATGTTTATATTTTATTAATTCTACTTGATAAAATACATATAAAAACATTTATCAAAAAATATACATTTTGATTTCAGTAATATATATATATATATATATATATATATATATATATATTTTTTTTTTTTTTAAATCATCAAAGTTTTTTTCAGTCTGAATTAAGATGTGTTGTATTCAGCCTTTACAGGCCCCTTAGGGACAATTACATATCACACACTCTGATAGGGACTTGTTGTTAAAATGGATTGCTTACTTACGAAAATTGGTTGTGTATGTTTGTTTTGATATGAACTTATATGTCAATGTCCATAGCCCAATTGCAATAGCCCATTTCCAGACCGTCCAAAAAATATAATTAATCAATCTCATGGATGTCCATCTATCCTGATAATATTTCCACATGAGCACAGTTTGGGCAAAACCCATACGCCTATCCCAGTAGTGGCACTGGTAACCACTGAGCCATGACCATCTAAGTCACTATACACTCTATGTTTGACTGTCTGTGTGTGTGTGTGTGTGTGTGTGTGTGTGTGTGTGTGTGTGTGTGCGTTTAACACATTATGCCACCAGACACTGTTTAACATTTCACTCATTACTCTTTTTGCCTCCTAGTGTTACAGTACACACTCCCGAGAGAGAGAGAAAGAGAGAGCGAGTGTGTAGTGGCGAGGGAGAGGTGAGAATCTATATCGGGCTGTGTTCCAGCCAGTAATTGATGATGCGTAAGCAACAGCCTCCTTCTGATGATGCGTACACAGCTGAGCCCCACATCTCATGAAAACACGTCCAGCTCATATTTCACCCAAAACATTAAATGAAGAAAATGAATAATTATGTTACGTAAGGGAAAAAAAATAATCAATCAAATTTTGTTGCTTTGAGACATTATTTGCATGACAATTATGCTCATTTGTCCCCATAATCATAATGCAATCATAACATTCTACCTTTTCAGTTTTTACTTTACTTTCCAATTCCATTCAACTGTATTTTATTATTTAAATTAGTATAAAATAGCATATATATATATATATATATATATATATATATATATATATATATATATATGCTGTATACACACACAATGGATATCTATCCATTTATTTTTTCATTACAGTAATGAAAATTGGAGCTTTTTGCATTACAATGATGCATATTTTTGGGGAAAACATCATGAAAATAATGCCCCAACAAAACTAAAAAAGGTCCAAAAAATAGGCCTTTCCTTCATTAATTTATTTTTAAAAATGTATAATTATAATACGCACACACACACACACACTGAATACGAAAAAGATCTGTGTGGAAACCCTACTTTATCAGAGAGACACACCAGGACACTGCATGTGTGACTCAAGCTGTGTTTTCATGAACTTCGTCTCATTGAGATTTAGATAAAGTTTCCTAATTATGAACGGGGCTAGTTTTATGTAACGACAATGTATCTGATGGGGAAGAAATAATTCATTTAATTCACTTCCTCAGATTTGCCATCCCAGTGTGTGAGCTGGAATTACATGCCTGTGTACGCAAGAAATGAATTTGACGGAAACACAGTAAACAAGATGAAAAGTTCATGGCAAAATTAACCGAATCATTATCAACACTAATCAACACGCCGGAACCAAAAGCTCAATCACATGGAAAAGAGCGCTGGATGTCAAGATCTGAAATCTTAAAAAATGGAATTAAAGGATTATTTAGGGTTGACTGAGCAGCCAGTGAGGTGATGTTATGGGCTGCGTTCTTGAAGGAAAGAAAACACTTTGAACTTTCCCTCTCACTCTCTGGGTGCGTTCATATAACAGCTCTCATGTGACACGAGGTCAAAAGATGAATAAATTCACAAATTTAAATTCACTTCCTGATAAGGAAACCAAAATGAACCTCAATTTCCATTAATACTTGCAAGAAACATGCTGCAAATGAATCCATAATTATCCACAGTGTAATACAATTTGTATACATACTGTCAAAATCCAATATAAATCTTGATTGTGACAAATGCATTATGGCAGGTAATTACCTTATTTCACACTTCCACTTATATATATATATATATATATATATATATATATATAAGCATTTTTATATTTACTTATTTTTTATTGATAATTATGTGAATTTTATGTATATAATATTTTCTAAATGTGCATATTGTATAAATTCTAAGCAATAATAAATATATACTATATATACAGGTGTGGATTAAGATTTACTGTATTCAGTTTTTATAATGCCGGTCCCATGGGCCCAATAACATATCATATTCTGATAAAAGCTAAAACGATTCATGCAAATATTCAAGCTAAAGCAGAGACTGTGTGAATAAACAGATTTTGGCATTTCTGATTGCTAACCGTGAGGAAGTCGGTGAGTTCGCTGTTTAGAAGATCCTTCAACTCTCCTTTACTGAGCTTGTATTTGTCTCCCTCGCTTCCCGAGTAGTTGTGGAAGACTGTGATGAGCGCATCCATGGCTCCCTCCAGTTTACTGGGCATGGCTACAGCAGAGCACCTGTGGAGCGGAGAAGAGACACATCCGGTTCAAACCGACCCGACCTGACCTGACCTGACCTGACCGCTGCTGGTCCTGCACAAAGACTTTCATCAAGATATTTTTTCTGGATATGGTGCCATGGCATTTCTATGGCAAATGGATTTAATTATCCTTTAGTGCCATCAAAGTGCCATACTGTCACAACCAAAATAGCTTTGTTTGCAAGACAATTCAGAATCATTTTAAATGTAAATAAAAGTCATTATTAATCTTTTTTCAAATATCACCTGTGGTCTAAAGTTTGTTGGCAAAGAGAAAAGTGTCTTACCTCGTTCAGAGAAGAGAAGTGAACTTCTGTGTGCGTTTGCAAACAGATTGTTTTCTGGAGCGGGTGAAGTTGTTTATGAGGTTACCTGTGCAGGAAAAGGTCCTCCTCTGTTGTCGTGACGATGTGTCGTAGCTCAGGTGTTGCACCATAGTAACCCTGTACACACCTGCACAGAAAACACACTCGAAATAAAAGAGCAGCGGCCTCCTGAGAGCCCTCATACACACACACAAAGAGCATGCAGAGATAACTTCACTTTTATGATACATTTATGCTCAATGCCTTTTAATCTAATGTGTTTTGCTGGTTTTTATCTTTTTAGTAAATGTGTGAAGCCTTCACACAGCCTTCACAGTGAAGGTATCCTACAAATGTTCATCAGATTAACCATGAAGACGATCCACTAAAGCATCACTAACACAAAGACTGCAAATACTGTTCTTTATTTTGAACAGTATATCTTTTGTTTTATCATTTGAAGTTGAACAAGTCAATTTTGTGATTTCATTTTAAAGGTGTGCGAATGGCATTTTTCTTCAAAACAAATCACCTTAATAATTTGGTATACAGTATGATGCAATGACAAAATCAGTATGATTTTAAAGAAATTAATGCATCAAAAATAACAGTATATTTCAAATAAACGCTGCTCTTTTCAACTTTATATTCATCAAATACAAAAAAATCACAGTTTTTACAAAAAATATTAAGCAGCACAACTCTTTTCAACACTGATAATAATAAGAAATGTTTCTTGAGCAGCAAATCATCATATTAGAATGATTTCTGAAGGATCATGTGACACTGAAGACTGCATGCTGAACATTCAGCTTTGCCATAACAGAAAACTGTTATTTTATGCTTTGTAAATTTTCACATGTAATATTATTGCATTATTGCAATTTCGCACCAGTGAACAAATACAAAAAAACAAAACAAAAACAAATTTTTTTTTTACCTGACCATAAACTTTTATTTGCCTGGTCAACACCAGCAAGACGTTTAGGGTCGACCTGCTTCAGCAGAAAGATTATAAAAAGTACCCATTGCAAAAGTGTACAAGTAGCCCAATTCTGTAGGAAAACCTCAGACTTGGCAACACAGGCTACTGTACAACAAAAGATAAAAGAGAAAGAGAACAAAGAAGAAAATGCCTTTAAAGTCGGCATGAAATCAAATTTGACAAATCTTCTTTTTATATATAATACTGTAGTGTTTATTATAAATGATTCATCTGTGCAAAATCATGTACTCTTATAATCTTTAATCAAAGACATTACCCTTCCCTCCCCCATCGAAACGACCTCTCTTCTATTTCAGTCATGTGGAATGGCGTAAGGGTGCGGCCAGATCCAATGAGGGTGCGGCTATCGGTGCACCGCCTCTCAGAGAATGCCTCCATTTTGTATGCAACGCCCAACCTCCAACGATCCAATCAATTCCCGAAAGACGAAATCAATCCCTGCCCGTTTCACTCAGATATACGTCACAACAAGGAAAAAATGACAATCTCAACTTCCATTTCACGCCGACTTTAAACAGAATTTGTTTAAAGAAAAAAATGCCTTTAATTGCAATTATAGTATATATGATAATGGAGATGGTAAAATAACTTCCCCATATCTCTAAGGCATTTTGGTGCTTAGATATGGCAAAGGCCCCCAGGGCTCTCAGGGACCCCACATGGGGCCTCTGTACACTGCCTGCCCCACTTCAAAATTGCCCACCCCCATGTCTCCATACAGCTGGAGCGCCGAAGGGTTCAGAGTCATGGAATCTCACATCTCACATGATTCAATTTAATTCAAGTCTGCAGCACAAATGGTAGGGGCTTCATGTTTAAAAAAGTTTAATACATACGGTTAGAATAATTATATAGCAAGGTCTGCCTTAACAAACCTTCTAAAAGCAATCAGCATATCTGACCTTAACGGATACAAAAGAGCTCATTTTGGTCATTAAGTCATTGCAACTGATCAAATAACATGGGCTATTAGTACCTCTGACTGGGGATTGAGAGCGCAAGGGAGAGAGAAGATAAGACCTACTAGGTTCTGTACTTAGCTCATCACTTCACTGGAGCTTTGTTTATTAAATCATGTGGTTATTAGTGTTTCATAGAACAACTAGAAGACCAGTATTCGATTCTAAACACAGATAACGAGAGAGAGAGAGAGAGAGAGAGAGAGAGAGAGAGAGAGAGAGAGAGAGAGAGAGAGAGAGAGAGAGAGAGAGATGCTTGAAGGTCGTTGCTTGGTTGTAATTCAGTTGTGATATAGGCTAGCATACAGACTACAGTATGTGGTTTAATAAAGGTCAGTCACACCAAGAACGATCATTAGCGACCACGCCAACGCACGATAACATTCGTTGATTTAAGCACGCGCTTAATTGTCCCGTTTTAAATGCTCAACTCTCACTTGATTCTGTTTGGGAATTAAATATATAGTTTAAAAAAATGTTTGATGTGAACTATTTGTTTTCATTCTTTTCTGTCTGCTTCTACATGTTCATAAGGTTCAGTGCTTCGATTGGAAACTCCAGCATCATCCTCCGAGCAAAAGCGTTCACGTCACGACTATTATTGCTCGAAGCAGGTACGGGACATGATGACGTACGCGCCGTTCTTGTTTTCCTAAAACTGGGCTAATAATCCCATGGAGTTTACTATTAGTTTAAAAAAAACAACTTAATTAATCTGTGAAAATCAAGATTTATGTATTATTTATATAATAATAAACGAACGAAAAGGCCGATTAATAGTCTAAGTGTCGTCGTGTTTCGAGATCTGTCTTTCTCTCAAAGGATCAAGACGAGTCTATTTTTTACCTCCTGATTTTACCTGAGGGAGAGACCAGAGAGGGTCAGGATGAGGCTCAGGTGTGTTTCACCCCCACCCCTCCAAGCTAAAGGTATTTTCCGTTCATTAAAATGATGAGACGTTTCCCTTGCTGTGTGAATTAGAGTGAGAAAACCTAGTGAATTAGCATTATGAACAATGAGTGACCCACAAACTTTTAATTTTTCATATAATTTATCAGTATTTATTGTACTGTAATTGTCTAAACATGGTTAAAGTAAACAGCAGAATGCAGCATAGTTTCATTCATCTTGTGACGGTCTACTTACTGTTTTAATGGCGATGTGTTTCTGACCTCTAGTGGCTCAACCTTGGCAGTGGGATTTTAGGTTTGAGTCTAAGTACACTTACATTTTTCTTTTGTGTGTGTGTGTGTGTGTGTCTGAACATGCAAATTGAAATCCCCGGATATTATAACACAGTCAAACTCTAAACAGAAAAGACAATAATTCACCTAGTTCATCAAGAAAAAATCTAAGGGAGTGCTTTGGTGGTCTGTAAATGACCAGTAAAAGAATTTGAGGGGTTACCCTTAATAATTCTACTCAAAAGAAACAAACTTTTGAGTATTCAAATTGATTTGAAGCATCAGGCACACTTTGATCCTTCTGTTCCGAACACCATTCTTCAGAACTTGTATACAGATGACTGCTTAAAATCTTGGCCTACAGAAGCTGAAGCACTCCCTTTGGCTCATAATCTCATTGCTTGTGCAAAGGGAGCATTTCAGCTGTCAAAATGGTTTAGGAATAGTCGCGTTGTCATGTCCAGCATTCCAGAGGGACAGAGATCAAAGGCAATCAAAGAGCTTGACTTGGATCAAGTCAAGTCTTCCAATGATCTTCCAATGGAAAGAGTACTTGGTCTGCACTGGTGCACTGAAAAGGATAAATTTGCCTATCCATAAAGGACCCCCTTGGGGTTTCTTTCTCCATTTACTCTGCCTGTAAAACAGGTGATCCAAGAAATGTGCAATGATGGCTGATGAGATTGTGCAGGTGTTCTCTCAGCGATGGACTAGATGGCTGGCTAGCTAGCACTGTAGCAGCACTGAATGTAGACCGGTGTGTAAAGCCTTTTGACCATTCGAACACGCTCAGCTTCACCACTTCTCTGATGCCAGTGGGAATGGCTATGGGAAGCTGTCATGTTTGAGTGGTGAATAGTGAAAAAGGACTGTAGTTGCATTTATTTTAGGAAAGTCAAGAGTTGCTCCATTAAAACAGATGAAAATCCCAAGGTTGGAACTTATGGCTGCTGTTCTTGCTGTACGAATGCTAAAAAGGGAGTTGCAGATTCATTTGGATTCATCTGTATTCTGGACAGACAAGCATGACTGTACTGAGATATATCCAAAATTAAACTAAGTGGTTCCAAACCATTTTAGCAAATAAGAGTCAAGTTTGAATCCGAAGGATGAGGCATAGGGGTTTTTGTGCTGAAGAGTTTTTATCACGGAAGAGATGGCTTAAGGGACCATTAACTTTTTTGCATTTGATTTACTCCCATAACTGGCCCATTTAGCTGTAATTAATTCCTGAAAAAATAATATGCATAGGTAAATACATATTTTGATAGATATATAGTGCACACTCTTAGAAAAAGTTTCAGTGGGGTTCTATATACATCCATTCCCTGACTCAATTTTAAAGAGCCCTTTATGACAAAAAAAATTCTATATATAAGGAGAAGAGTCTTAAATGATTGCATAATACTTTCATGTTTAACTGTTTTTTTTTTTTAATTAAAATGTTCTAGTTAAAAGAAAAACTGTAGCCTAACTACAGTATATATAGGCCTATATATATAGTTTGTCTAATTATATAGTATATATATATTATTATATAATAAAGATTCAAACGACAATCACCAGTGACAACTAGAGATTCAGCCGTTGTAAAATGCAAAAGACTTAGTTCGGACTTCGGGGTGGCTACAGGAAAAAGAGACTGCAACCAGAACAATGCAAAAACAAGGATACATATCGGAAGGATTACATGTAGTCACGCAATGCTGACGTTGTTGTTAACATTAACAATTTGAGAACAAAGTTGCATGGTTTTGTGTGATATAATAAGCAGTTTTTAGATTTAATCAGCGCGGTTTACTGCAATGTCAGAACCAACAAAAATTGTTATATAGTTGTTAGTTGTCAAATATAGAACCTAATGGCTGTCATTGCTCAAGAAAAAAAAGTACAGCCAGCACATTTCATAGTAACTAATGCAGTCTTGCAATCACTGCACAATTTAAAATATGCCGACAAGGTGTGGCCAACCCTGGTCCTCGAGAGCCACTGCCCTGTTCGTTTTCCAACTATTCCTGCCTTTCCAGCTTCTTAAAGACAACACACCTGAAAGCTCCAGAGATAGCTCGAGGACCAGGGTTGGCTAAGATTGGATTGGATTAAGTCATTGTGAATGATTATTACAAGGCTACAATAGTTGACTAGAATTGGATTACAGGAAGTGTAAATCTGTGCTATAAAAAGTAGTTAAAATAAAACGGTACGCTTCCTTTTACAGTCCAGTTACCCATGTAAATACTATGTACTTATTTTAGTAACTACAATTACTGGGTAATAACTAGTACTAACCCTGAACCTACCCCTAAACCTTTCCAGTCATGGGGTTGTCGTATCCAAAACTGAATTTACATTTTACAAATCTTCACATTTTGAAATGGGTGGCACCAGACCCTCAAGGAGTGCTTGCCCCATGTCAACGGAAAGTAAGAAATATTATGTGGTGTGTTTAAAATGCTTATTTTATTTGAACCCTGTTACAAGTACCAGTTCACCAAGTATGGAATAATTATTGATACCATTGTTTTTGCTCGCTGTCAATTCAGTCTCACCTGAATTCACATTTGGCTAAGCCCTGCCCCCCTTAGTTCCGTCAAACTTCATCGGGGGCTCTGGTTTGGTATCAACATGGCTTATGCTGTAACAGCTCTTCCTGCTGAAACGTTATCAAACTTTTATAAAGCAGCAAATAAAGTGTCCGATAGAAGTAGGCAAAAGGGGCTGCAATATGCGTTCGAAGGCTATATTCAAGACATACAGGTGAAACGCAAGAAACAACAAGGCAAACGCATAACGTTACCACTTACCAGTCACAGTCAAAAAATGAACCACCGCATATGCTACTTATCGAGTTGGAGGCTGGGACTGACAATATCAGGGAGCAACACTGTTCATGCAAAGCTAGGTCTCTATTCACTTCTATAATCGTTATTACAAGGCAAACGGACTACACGACTATAACGTCGTATTTATTAGCAGCGTCTGCTAGCGTATCAACAACCTGTATGAGAACCAAAATCATAACCTAAAACATTATAAAACGGTCTAACTAGTATAACTACACAGTAAAGTTAGAAGCAGAAAAGGCGAAATTCAATATGAGTGGTAGTGGCCACATTGAAAAGAAGCAATTCAATGCTACACCTTTGTACGATGTAATTCAAGGTGTTTGATGTTGCTGTATTTGGCCGAGCAGTGGTTTGGGTGGCTCGTCAATGCATTAGATTTCTTCAATACATAAAATAATTAAGCTTGACCAGAGTTCTTGTGGGGAGAAGAATTTATTGAAGGTTTGCAGTGTAGCAGTCCTTCAGCAGCGATGTTATCATGTCGTCCTTCAACTGTCTGTGAGACAGAACTTTATACATAAAGACATAACAAACAATAGTTCATGTATACAAACAATAGAAACCTGTTAGGACCTCCCACATGAGATCCATCTAATTTGCTAATCCACTCTGAGCAATGCTGATTCTTTTTATTCATTCATTCACACCAACCAGTTTCTATGGGCCATACATCTGTATATTTGGCACACACCTTTGCAGACAGAAAGAGTGGATTACATCTGAAATGGGACGTCTTTTCAACGGTCATTAAATGTCCGAGCAAGTCTGAGAGTAGGCGGCTAAAGTGAGAGGATGAGTGAAGAAAGCGCTGGCAGGTCAGACAGCTCTTTCTTCTCGTAGTGGATCAGACACCTGTGAGATCAAAGATGGTTATCGCGGGATTCAAGATCATGCAGTGTTGCTATTAAACTGGATGCAATTTAAGTTATGTAGCTTTTATATGAAAATAAATATGATGAACAAGATACCCAAAGTTGGCTACTAGTTATAATCACATGTCGACCCGCTCTTGCAGGTGCTTCTTTTCATGGGCCCTGTGCTTGGAAGTGTACGTGTTCTTTTTCGAGTGCTTCATGGACCTGAACAACACCCTCATCCTGTTCACCGTACGACTGCTTCGACACAGCAGTGTGTTCTTGACGTGCTCCCTGAACTCGTCCGAGACGTAATAGTAGATGAAGGGGTCCAAGCAGCTGTTGAGGCTGGCCAGGCACAGCGTGGTGATGTATAAGCCATAGCTGTTATTGGCCCAGCTTTTTTCCTGGACAGAGTAGTGAAACACCAGCATCACATTACTGGGGATGAAGCAGACCAAGAACGTTATGAGCACCGTGACAATGAGGACCACAGTTCGTTGGCGGGTTTTTCCGGCACCACCCTCAACTGCAGAGCTCCCAAGCGAACGAAGGAGAAGAACGTACGCAACTATGATGACCAACATCGGGATGAAGAACACAAGACCTGCCATCACCATGAAATAATAATAGGGCAGCTGAACATCCAGGAACATGTTTTCCGTCTGATAGTTCTCCTGACTGACAAAGTTGATGTCGTGGCAGGTGGTGATGTTGAGTTCTGCTGATTCAAATGTTTGATTGTAGAGGTACAAAGGCGTAGTGCTGACCCATATGAAGATCCAGATGCACACAGATACGATGATTGCAAACTTGTTGTTTTTCTTAAGCTGGGAGAGTGGGTGAGCGCAGACCCAGTACCGCTGGACGCTTAGACAAGTGATGAAGAGGATGGAGCAGTACATGTTGCCGTAGAAGAAACCCACCAAAACTTTGCACATCCCTTCCCCAAATGTCCAGTTATTTCCTTTTAAATGGTAAGCAATCTTGAGAGGCGTCCAGATAACAAACATCAGGTCAGCCAGCGCCAGGTTGCCCATGTAAATGGCAGAAGGGTAAATTTTCTTTGATCTGAACAGCAAGACCCATATCGCCATCGCGTTGGTTGGAAACCCCAATGCAAAAACAAGTATGTAAACAATTGGCAGGAAGACGGTTGTGAGGCCGCTCTGTAGTGTATCTTTAACAACCTGGTCAACTATGATGTTGTCACTGTCTGAATCCAGCACGACTATAAGACTTTCTAAAATCCAAAACAAATTGATTCATATTAAAACGAGTGAATTACAAACAAAAATAGCCTACATCATAAAAACAAGTAGCCTAAATGAAGATATGGACGAATTAAAGCGACTTACCAGGCTGTGCCGACGCAAAAATCACACACGCAGAAAAAAAACAGATCCGGTAACTCGCGGAGATAGCCATTCCGGGTTTTTCAAACTTTTCGTTATTTATCACACTAAATAACAGCCTGTCTCTTGAAGCGAGTTTATGAGCTCTGTGTTCCTCTCATAGACTGTAAAATAAGGTTCGTGAACACACCTCTAGATGCAGCCTATATGGGGAGGCTGCAGACTTGGAGCCTGCATAGTTGGGCGGGGTTGCACCTGAGGCGGGGATGCACGCCCAATGTTCATCAAGAGGCTTGTTAAGAGATGGGCCTTGACTCGCCTGAAATGTATACGAGAGTCGGCGGCTGCAGTGAGAGGACGAGTGAAGAAAGCGCTGGCAAGCCGGTGTTCTGTCGATCTGTCCTACCTTGTCAGATTTTCCTACCGTAGCGCAAAATTATAGCCATATCTATCGGTTCTTCCTACCTCGTAAAATCCTACTGAGCGTTTCTGCTTCACGTCTGTGACTAAGTTACATAAAATATTTCTGTGTAACTTTGCCGAATTTTCTTATTAGGCCATGTTACGGTGATTTTACAGTGCAAAGTAACGTTACCTCTTCAGATTGTCCTATGAAATAAACGATAGGATGATTTTACGTTGCAAAATGCCTCATCAGATTGTCCTACCAGTATGAAATAAATGAGTAGAATGATTTTACGTTAATGTTTATATGAAAAAAAAATGCTAATATGAATTTGCTTTGTATGAATGTGAGAGTAAACAGTTCTCATTACATATCTTTGTATAGTAATAATTGACAAAAATAGTGAAAAACTTACCTCAGATGAAGAAGATCTCGCGCAAGTAGTAAAATATTATGGGCGTGTTGTTCAGCGTGACAAAAATGACGTATTATTGATGTGCGCATGCGCAGTAAGCCTTGGTAGGACAAGCTGACGGGTAGGATGGAATGTCAGAACACCGGACAGCACTTCTTTCTTCTCGCAGTTGGATCAGACACCTGTGAGATCAAAGATGGTTATCGCGGGATTCACGATAATGCAGTGTTGCTAATAAACTGGGTGCAATTTAAGTTGCTTTTATATGAATATAAATTTAATGAACATATCAAATCACATTCCAAATACGTGTTTATCAATATTTTCTTCTTTAATACAGTCACACTTGTGTTTTTATAGGGTTTTTTTTTTTTTTTATAAAAATGACATTACATAACCCATCGCACTGTCAAGAGTTTATTCACTCATAACTACATATAAAACATAAAGGTTTAAAATCAAACATTTTAAAAGAGAACAATCACGTTGTTAAAACCAATGCGCGTTAAGCTGTCATCAGCAAGTCGTTTCTCATCATGGTTTTGACAATGGTGGAGACTGCACGCGACTCCAGAATCCTGGAAACATTAGAAATATTGATTTTGATGTTTAAATTTAAATTTTGTGATTATATATTCTTCCAAAGCAGATGTCAGCATGACGTCAGAGCAAAGTGGACCATAGACATAGAGAAATCTATAAGTCATCCTCATTTATATAGTGCTTGTAGATTGTTTAAAAAAGCAGCATTACAGAGATAAACATATCATTTAAGGTAACAGAGATTGGTTTGGTTTTATACACTAAAAATTGCTGGGTTGTTTTAACCCAATTTTGGGTCAAATATGGACAAACCCAGCCATTGGGTTCATTTTTTAATTAGCCTACATTTTTAACCCAATGTTTGGGTTTGTCCATATTTGACCCAAAGTTGGGTTAAAACAACCTAGCATTTTTAGAGTGCAGCGGTTCTTGAATAATGTTATTTTCCAGCTAAAGTTAGTTTCGAATGATTTACTTCCGTCGAAATGATCATTTGTTATTAAATTAGGGGCCGCTAAGACGATACCGTCTCTAAACAGACTTTAAACGTGAACCTGTGATAAACGCTGATGGCGTTCACATGCACATTAAGAATTCATTCTAGTTATGTGCAATTATATGTGTGCAGGTTTTTAATTCCCTACAAACCATGCCCAAACAAACTACTTGTCTATAAATTTTGAAACAGATTTTTATTTCATCACTTCTGGGTTAGAACGCAAACCGAAATTTCCATGACGCTTTATCTGTAGAGTGTTATAGGGATCCTCTAGAGCAGTGTTTCCCAACCCTGTTCCTGCCGGCACACCAACACTGCGTGTTTTCTTTGTCTCCTTAATCAAACACACCCGATTCAACCCATCAGCTCATTAACCCACCTGATAATGAGCTGATGGGTTGAGTCAGGTGTGTTTGATAAGGGAGACAAAGAAAACACGCAGTGTTGGTGTGCCGCCAGGAACAGGGTTGGGAAACACTGCTCTAGAGGGAGAGGCTAGTTGGCTAGCAGATCTGGAAACGGCCTAGGTCCGGAAGGCTGCGGGAAAACCTTGGGATAAACAAAGACACTAAAATTAGTGTAGATGCCATTCTTCTTATGATGCAATTTTTACGGTATGTGGTGACCAGGAAGCACGAGGAGACAAGGAGAACATCAGGAATTTAATCAAAAACACAGGAGTAACAGAAATCACACTATACATAAATGAGAACGGACCTGGAGTGAGGAGAACACAGGGTTTAAATACACAGAGAACAGGAGAGGGAAAATGGAAACAGGACTGAACCAAATACACAAAGAACGGAGGGAACACAGGACACACATGTAACATTATGCCCCCTCCAAAAAAGGCACAACCTCGTGCTGTAGAACATAAAGGGTGACGGTGGCAGGGCCAAATCGGAGCAGTTAACCCTCCAGGGCGGATCAGGTAGTGCAGGGAGCCAGGGCGGAACAGGTAATGCATGAGGCGCAGGGGGGCAGGGCGGAGACGCCCCTCTGGGTGGCCAATGGCGGAAACGACCCCTCCGCATGGCCATGGCGGGGTCCTAAATCACTCCCAAAAAATTTTCTTGGAGAGAGTGACGGGCTCAGGAACAGGCTCAGGACTGGACAGGACCAGCAGAGAAGGCTTGGGAATGGACGGGATCAGCGGAGAAGGCTCGGGACTGGATGCTACGTGAAGCCCTGGCTCGGCAGGCGTGACGTGAAGTTCTGGCTCGGCAGGCGTTACATGAAGCTCTGAGTCAAAGTCTATGAGCCAGTCTTCCACTTGATGGAGGGGGAGAGGAACACAGGATTTGGGAGGGATGGCCTCGGCGGGACGAGACAATAGAGACGGTGGGGAGACAGGAACAGAAGGGAGATCTGGGATTACTTCCTCAATGGTGTAGGATGATCCACTCACCCATAGGATGTTATCAATGTATTTCCTTGAGGATCATGTGTTGGTAATAATAGCTGGAATTTGCCTAAAGAGTGGATCATCCAGACCTATCCAGAAGGAGTGCTTGAGGGCTCTCTCCTTTCAGGACACCTGGTGGGTGAGGTGGAGAAATTCCGCAATGTAGATCTTGATAGAGCAGTGATTCTTGGTAAAGTAGGTCTGTGGGATCCATTGTACGTTTTAATCCGTTCTTCTGTTACGTGCGTGGTGACCAGGAAGCACGAGGAGACAAGGAGAACCGGACAACAGGAATTTAATCAAAAACACAGGAGTAACAGAAACCACACTATACATGATAAACGAGAACGGACCAGGAGTGAGGAGAACACAGGGTTTAAATACACAGAGAACATATTAGGGGAACAAGGCACAGCTGGGGCAAATTAACTAAACACTGGTGAATGAACTAAACAGTAATGAGGAGCAGGAAAATGAAAACAGGACTGAACCAAATACACAAAGAACGGGGGAAACACAGGACAGATATGTAACAGTAACGAGAACATCAGGATTTAAGGAAAGTGTTCCCAGTTCCGGCTGACCTAATCAATGCAGCCTAACATTGAATTATAGAAATAATGTATTATGTGAATGCAAGGTCAAACTTAAGAGATGTGTTTTTAGTCTAGCTTTGAACTGACAGCGTGTCTGCTTCTTGGACAACGTAAGGAAGACTGTTCCAAAGTTTAAATCAGCTATGTATTCCGTTAATTTTGTGAATTGGTAAAGTGAAAGCTAATTCCATGTTTCCTGATGTTATCTTCTAATGGTAAGATGCAGAGTGAACAGCAGCAGTCCTAGTACTGAGCCTTGCGGTACACCATCCTGAACTTGTGATCGATCAGTCATCTCTCCATTTACTGCTAGAAACTGATAACGGTCAGATAAGTATGATTTAAACTAATGCAATTCCACTAATGCCAACACTGTTTTCTAGTCTATTTAAAAGAATGTTGTGGTCAATGGTGTCAAATCCAGCACTAAGATACAACCCCGATGGGATGATAAGAACAAATCATTTGTGACTCTAATGAGAGCATGTGATTGTGAGAGACCAAAATTGTGTTGAGGGTCATATGAAACTGCAGCTCTTTGCAGCAAGTGAATTGCAAACCTCCGTCAAGCTGTAGTGGCTTTGATTGAGCATCTGTGATGAGAAACAATGCCAGTTTAAGTCTCGTCAGATCACAAAAATGCTGAAAACACTTCTAATGAACAAACATACAAATATTGTTATGCAATAGAAAGATGGAGGAACAGTTCACTCAAAAAGGACAATTGATCATTTATTAATTTCAAACCTTGATGCAGATTTTTTTTTTTTTTAATTTGTCCAGGTCACTGGTGTTTAGCCATTCTTCACATATTTGAAATCGTCGATCTAAAATGTAACATTTCTGCTTGAATACAAAGTTAATTAAATTTATATAATTTTTATGCATCACTATGAATGTTTTACAAATATGTTTGCTGAGTACTTACAAAATGAAGCCAGTTACTGATTACAAATTAGTTGTTTACAAATTACAAAAGTTAGTAACAGAATCCAACTTGTTTACTACGTTGAATTGAATAGGATACAATTGTACCATATTGATATAAAAATACAAAGATAAATAAATGTATTCTGTATATTTTTTTATCATCAACATGAACATGTCAAAGTGTATTAAACATTATGCTCCGTCAGGGTTTCACAAACTGGGGTTTATGAAGGAATATATCAGTTACATGAAAAGGTAATAATAAAATAAATCATAAAAATTTAAAATAATATTGTGTTTGAAAGACAAATGCCTTCCAAAGACATAGCAATACAATGACTTACTGAGTGCTAATTCAAATAATTAAAAAAAATGTTTAAAACATGAAAATTAAAAACTAAATTATGAATGATTTACTGCCATTGTGTGAATAATACATAACCATGTTATCAATAAAAAAGTAACTATATGAGCATTTTAAAATGTAATATAATCACAAATACTTATTTTTTTAATCTGATTATGTAATCCAGATTACATGTAATTAGTTAGTACCTAGCACTACAATATCTTTAAAAAATGTCACACTTCACCTTTAAGCATTAAGCTTGTCTATCAGCCTCTGAATGACTCGAATGACTCATGAAGTGATTTATATTTTTATTCAGTCCATCAAGTATTTTTAACACCAATTTCTGTGATATGTTCATACATCCTCTGCAAACAATTGGTTTACAGATAGGCTAAAAACAAATCATACAAATCAAGGAACGAAGTCGTTGTGAAGGATATTGTTTGCGTGAGAAGTGGATCATTACTCACTCAATAGAGAGTGGCTCAGTGGCTGTTTGCCCTCAGCTTTTTTTCTGTTTGAATAAACAACTTTATTCTGTAAAAAGATTTATGCATGACCACAGTGACACCCGACTGCAACTTCCTGGTCTGAAAAACATCAAAATATGAACAAGGGCTTTTCATCTCAGTGAAGGGCTGACAGAAAAGCTATGATTAATGAGAGACAGAATGAGAAAGAGAGAGAGAGTGAACAGATCTCATCCAGAGATGGGTTGTTAAAGATGCATTTTCTACTCAAGTATAGCCAGACAAACATAAATATGTATGAGAATGTTGTGTAATGTTAGTTTATGTAAAGCAAATTCATTTAAAGTTTTGGAAGGTGCGACAGGAAATGAGATGATGTGGTAAATAAAATCTGCTGTAACATTAAAGTCCATTGCACACACATTTCAACATGTGTCTGTTACACAAACGCAACTTAAAGTGGTTAAAGGAAATAGTCCACCTAAGCTTGTGTCACTCCTAATACAACTGTAGAACAAAAATGGAGAAATAAGGAAGAATAACTCTTGTTTTCCCCTATAAATTTCTTTAAAAAGAATGCAAAAGCACCATAAAACTATTTTAAAAGTGTAAGCAAGTCCTAAAATAGCTTTTTCAATGATGCACTTAATCCAGTGCACAATAATGATTTTATGTTTGAAAATTTTAGTAATGACTAAAATTGTATGTTTATTACACAAAGATGACATATAACTTCAGATAAAATGTACAAGTTATGGACCAGTTTTATATTTTTAAGATCCTTTTTTGGTGCTCAAAAATAGTTTTTATTCACTGCAATTGAATTAAAAGATCATTCCAAACATCAATTAATAAATTCACCTTTTGCTTTACAGGGAAGAAAAAAAAAGTTATATTTTGGAAGAACATGAGTAAGCTAAATAATGACAACATTTTCATTTTATAGTGAGTCCAATTTATGCCAAAAACAGTTATTTTAGTATTTAGTATTTTAGTATATTTAAATACTATTATAGTATTTATTTTTTCCTTATATTTTTATATTTCCTTTTTTTATTTTAGTCTTCAGTTTCAATAATTTTCTTATGCTTTTCTAGTTATTTCTTAAAATTGTATCATTTTAGTACTTATTTAGTATAACTTTATTTACTATTTAGTATATTCAAATTAATTTCTTAACTCATTTCAGTTTAAGGTCAAGTTTTCTAATATTTGTATTTTACTTCAGCTTTATTTAAATTTGAACAAATTATTTAGCAAATAACAACATTTACAAACATTGTAGGAGCACAAATCTTTACTTTGACTCGCTGCTAAATTTTATGCAAATATTATGTATAAAACCTGCACCAACATATTTGATCTGACATAGAAATAGAAACAGACTAAGGGGTTATCACAGCATTAAATTTTGTTATTGTCAATTATTGTCTGTGCATGATATGAATTATGATTCCTGCATACTGTAAATACATTCACACCATCTCACTCAACAGGATTAACAATGACTTTTAAATTCTGATCATGAGCTTTTGTGCATCGTTTGAGACAGAATTTCATCAATGAATCATTTTGATCTCCATTGCAGTTCTTAATGTGTGCAGACGATTCATATCAAGCAAACACACAGAGATCTCTGGTTTCTTTCTCTCCATTTCTAGGTCAGAAATGAGTGGTGCAGGGACTTAACGGTTCGGCTGGTCAAATGTTGGATCATCCTCGAACTACCAATGAAAGACCGTTCACAGAGACACACACCATACCAAGAGAAAAAGAGCGTGGTGGTAGTGGGGGGTGTGAGAGAGAGAGAGAGAGAGAGAGAGAGAAAGACGCTACAGATGCAGGAGGTGGTGCTTGGACACATTTTAGAGGCGTAAAGGCCTGCCTCATTTGGTGCAGATCAGATCATTTACAAAAAAGCCACATCCACCACTCAAAACAAGGGAAAGTCACCGCCGGCAGCTGCCAGCATCCTCACCAACCTGCCGCCGGCTGTTGCATCAACAACACTTAGCCGGCCATGAGTCTCGGCAGCATACGCGGCACGCTGGTCGTCAGCAACGTAACCTGGGCTCTGTCGGAGCGCTCCGTGCTGCAGCCCGTGTGGGATTACCTCCAGCAGAACCACGAGAGCAGCTTGCGCTCGCCGCTGTTTCCCGTCGTCCTCTCGGTGTCCATGTACCTGGTGCTGGTGTTCTTCTACACCGTGCTGGACCTTCTGGCGCCCACCTGGCCCTCCATCCGCCGCTACCAGATCCACCAGGACCGCGCCGTCACCTGGTCCAACATTGGAGGCACTTTGGCGCTCACCATGTACAACCATCTGCTCTACATCTTCCCCGCCGCCGTGGCCCAGTGGATCTGGCGCCCGCCTGTGCCGCTGCCCCGCGAGGCGCCCACGCTCACCGCCTTCCTGCTGGGCATCGTGGGCTGCACCGTGGTGTTCGACTTCCAGTACTACTTGTGGCACCTTCTGCATCACCGCGTGGGCTGGCTGTACCGCACCTTCCACGCGCTCCACCACCAGTACCGGCAAACCTTCAGCCTGGTCACGCAGTACCTGTCGGCGTGGGAGCTCTTTAGCGTGGGCTTCTGGACCACCGTGGATCCTCTGCTGCTCCAGTGTCACTGTCTCACCGCCTGGGCGTTCATGCTGTTCAACATCTGGGTGTCCACCGAGGACCACTGCGGGTACGACTTCCCTTGGGCGATGCACCGCCTGGTTCCCTTCGGCCTTTGGGGCGGCGCGCTGCGGCACGACGCTCACCATCAGCAGCCGGGCACCAACTTTGCGCCTTTCTTCGCTCACTGGGACTGGCTGGGGGGCACGGCGGCCATGCCGGCTCCCGCGAAGACAAAAACACAGAGAGAAAAGGACGAAAAGGAAGCCTGAGGCTCGCTTTCCCTTTCACACCCTCGCTCTCATCTCTCTCCTCTTGCTCCATCTGTCCCGCCCTGTCTCACACTTTCTATTCATCTTCACGCTATTCATCTTCTCCCCGAACCGCTGATCAAGTGTCTTATATACTAACAAACCAGAGGAGAAACATTCCTTGATTCTTGATTGTATAAAGTGTCTTTTCTTGCAAATCTATCTATTTTTCTAAAATGTAAAAATCAGCATTGGCCAATTTTTGGAGGTTTTGTGGGACATCTCAGGTTAGTCGTTTTGGCCTTATGTTTGCAATGTCTTTTGAAAGAGATTACATGTTTCAAATGGCTTGTGTCCAATGCTTGTTATTGTGTTTTTCACTAGACTTCAGTCAATAAAAATGCTGTTGTTTGTTAAGTTTACCTTCAGCTGTGTTGATATGCAAATTTTGCAATTTCGGAGTGCTCTAAAAAAGCACAGACCGTTAAAAAACGTTAGAGGAGTGGAGCTTATGAAGTAACATTGTGTGATCACACAGGCATGTTGGCTAACAGTGATTGCTAGAAAGCACAAAGACTACTTACATCATCGCTGGTGCCGCTTGCTTCAATATAAAGGGAAAATGCTCAAACCACAGACAAAATGAGCTTTCTAAGGTTGACACTTATGGTCTTTCTTTCAAGAAACACAAAATGAGATGTTCAGCAAAAAGTCTGTGGTATGATTTAAAAAGGCACACTATTCCAAGTCTTCTGAAGCCATACATAATAACTGTGTGAGAAACAGACCAAAATTTACCCACCTGACCTTGTGTTCATTTCAAAAGTGACACCTTTTGATGTTGACCATCATGTCAGCCAGGTGGGATGTCAAAAAGCCTTAATGCTATTGGTTCTCTCTCGTCACATGACCAATCAAGTTTTGAAAAATGTGATTGCGACACTTAAGAAATGCACAAGACTTAAAGGGTTTGAGCAAAAAAAAACAAACAAAAAAAAAACATAATTTTGTCTTTCATGTCATTCCAACTCACATATTATTTTCTTTCTTCTATGAAACACAAAATCAGATGTTCGGAAGAATGTCTGAGCTTCTCTTTCAGTGAGAGTGGATGGTGATTTATACAGGTCAAAAAAGACCAAAAGCCACTTTTTTGACAAATCACACCAAAAAACACCATGTTTCCATGGCACATGATCAATCATAATATGAAAAGTAACAAAAAAAGTGACTTTAATTGACATGCATAAGGCTTAAAAATAAAAATATTTTAAAATATTAAAATTTGAAGAACATCAGACTCAAATTGCATGGAAACACAACACAATTATTTCTTTCATGTTCTGCAGAAGAAATGATCTCTTTAAACTTTTTGTCAGTTTCTCATACAAATCTATAAAAAAGGCTTTAGAAAACCAAGAGTCATATATATATACTACTTTTATGGATTGTTACGACAACGGGGGGAATGTAACGATTACAAAACTCGTGAACTATAAGATACACTTCAGGATATGGATGTCCAACCGGCCTGAACATACGCCGCAGCGTGCAGTGTTTGTTTTCTGCCATAGTTCGATTCTATGCCACACTATCCTATTCGACAGTTTTACATAAGAGAAGCCCGCAGAGGATCTGGCCTGAGATCAGTCTAGAGCCAAAGCAGAGAGGCAATGCTAATTAATCATCTTCTCTTTCAGCCTCCTACTGGTCCCTCTGGCACATGGAGAATAGCTCCCCATGCTTTAAGAGAGAGAGAGAGAGAGAGAGATTCAGATAAAGTTGGCTTATGACACCAGGAACTGAACAATTTCAAATAATTTTGAGATTTTTTTTTTTCACAGTAAGATACCAGCATGCGATGTCATATAACAGAAGACCTTTAGCAAAGGGGGCAGAGGTGCAATCTGTAACCTTTAACTAGCTCGGAGGAGGCCAAATAAACAAACAAACATGAAAATCTGCGCTTTGCTGCGTTTGTGCATGCGAGGCTGAGCAGTACCTGGCTGTCGTCCAGCAGCTCAGTATCTCTGAAGACCTCAGGCTGAGCTCTCTAAACAGTAAGTTGTTATCTGCAGCTCAGCACAGGAAACCTTGGACCATTTCCCATCAGGCATTGTTGTGGACGCCTCCCCCTCTGGCACTGCAACAGAGGGGTCCTTTAGGAATGTGGAAACTGGGAGAAAATGTGGACTGTGTTTTAAACAAGTAGTTATGCAGGAGAGATAAGATAATTCTGAGACACACACATGGGTTAAATGTGAAGATCTGAGAGATTTGACATGATATAAACGGCTCATTAGAATGATCTAATTGTAAATGATAACCAGAAACATATTCACCTTCCATTTACATTTGTATTGAACAATGAGATGCATAGATCACTCAAACTGACATTAAAATACCAAGAAATAAACTCACTTCTGATTAAAGCCTATATCTTAGAAGAAAGTATTAAAGTTTTCAGTTCATGGATCTGATTGCAGTATTCTGTGGACATGCAAATGTTCTGTGTGCAACATCCAGATGACTTACTACATCTGCCAAAATTTGCAACACAGACGAGCACACTATAATGTATAATGTGTTTGACTTGAATGTTTTTATCTCTCTCTCTCTTTCTTGACTGCCAATAGTGGCTCATTTTAATAAAAACTGGATTAAGGATGCAAAATAACTATTTCCGGGATGAAAACTAGACCATGTGGTCATGAGATAACAGTGAAGCATATATACATTTTGAAACATATTGTTTCATATTGCTTATTTTACATAATAATATAATAAAATTGTAGGTACACAGTATACACTGTGCAGTAGGCCTACACAAGAATACATGACAAAACTAGCGCTGCACTTACAAGATCTGTGCATTAGATGTCGCTGTGGTCAAAACTCTGCCATCATTTGACTTAAAGTCAAAAATAATTGTGGTCATACATAATAAAAGATCAAATTAAGAAACCGAGTACAAATCAGTGTTATTGAGTCTTATTGAGATACTATTATAGTTTTAATTCATATTTTGGATTAGATTTTATTTAATTTTTTCCTGTTTCAGTTAAATGTTAAGATTAAGATTTAGTAGTCTAATTTTGTTGTTTTTATATTTTTTTATAAAATTTAATTTCAGTTTTAGTTATTTAAGAATTCTTGCTTTGGCAACTAGCTGAAATAAAACAAGTTATATTAAAGATTTGATTTGACTTCAGTTAATGTTCTTTTTATTTCTTCTTTTTTTTTTTTTATAGATTTGGTTTTAGTTTTAAAAACTATAACAACCCTGATACAAAGCACTGTCACTGTATTTTTAACCTCAATCAATTTTTTTTTTAATTATTCCACATCATATTAAGGTAATTTGGTTGTTTACACTGTACCAGTGGGGTCAAAAAGACCACGCTAACATTTGATTATTATTTGTCTTTTACATTTTGAAATAGGTTCTTCTTTTTAAAAAAGAAAATATGAAAGAAAAATGACTTTAGTCATGGAATTGTTTTTAAATCAATCTCATATTTCTATCCTGCAGTATGCTGCTGGCTCTATTCTGTAATAAACCCATATTTCTATGCTATAGTGTTAGTTATATAAGAGATAAAAGCACATACGTACACACACACACACACACACACACACACACACACGTTTATTGTGGAAAGACACATCATGATGGTCATATTCCAGGATGACAAAGCCTAGATTCATCAGACTCAAATGGTGTAAGAACGGCTGGGAGGAGCATGAAGAATAATTTCCACATAAATCGGCTCCTCTGAACCCAGACCTTAAATTCATTCAAGTTTTTGGGATGTGCTGGAGGAGACTTAGACTGCTGGACTCTTGCACTGACAATACAAGATCTTGACCAAAAATTTATGCATTTTTGTAAGGAAATAAATGTTGTGATGTTATTTCCTTCAAGAGGTGCATAATGTTGATATATAAATATATAAATGATGCACCAAAACACAATGCAAATACAGCTATATAAAGAGTGTGTGAAAGGTAAACTCTCCCAATTACGACTGGCAACAACAAACATGCTTCAACATGCTCATTGAACTGGTTTGACCAGTCACTGTGTTATACTACACAAGACACAAAGACATTCGCAGACTGATCCTATTTTCTAAATGTAGGCCAACACACACCTGCTAAGATTCAAGACCCCAACTCACACAGCTGTAAACAATAGATGATTGTGCATTGAGAGGTGACAGCAGCTGGCGGCTTGGTCTGAATAAAAAATATATATATATATGTTCATGATTTGTAATCACAACATTTTTTTCTTTTGTTAAATCAACTTAAATAATTAATTTGGTTCAGATAACATAATATTTTGAGTTTCTGATGATTAAATCAATCTCCTTCATTCTATTAATTCAATTTTTCTTTTTCAATGAACTTAAAATTTGAAGGCAACCAGGTTACTTAATTTTTTAAGTTAAACCAACAATGTTTTTTTTTACAGTGTAGCCGAATGAGAGACGATGAGACCATTGTATGATATTTACACAAAACTATATTCCAATAGTATCCCTCATTTTTAATTCAGGAAATGAACTGAGATGTAAACAGTCAAATCTGACTCATCATCACTCAAAGGTTATACCCTTTCTCTCACTCTTGGACTTTTGTTCTTCTCAGGAAAATGTAAGGTTGAATAACAGGTTGTCAGACACAGGGAGTGTGTAAAGAGTGAGTGCTGAGACATAGAAAGAGAGGACAGGGGGAGGGAGAGATGAGAGAAAGAGAAGTAACATATTCCTCTCTGCGCTGTCAGTGTTATGCAATAGGAAGTTCACTCGCTTTAAACACTGCTGGTCTCTTATAAACAGCATAGGCTAAAGTTCACAATCTTTCTGTCTTTTAAAAGAGCTTGTTTGGTTTTTACCTTAAAATACCTGTACAAGAAAACCTAAAAGTGGTTTTTGCTAAGGCAAGTGTCACTATTACTCATAGCTATACTTCAAGTTCGAGATTTGAAATAGGCCTAAGTTAACTTGCATCCTACATTGTTTACACTACTGACTGAACTTCAGATTGTTTTGCTTGAGCTTTCTGAGGAAACGTTTGCTATTACAGCCTATAGTCATCCGATTTACAGTTGGTTACACACTCAATTTACACTGAACATACTGTATAGTGGTGTCAAGTTCTACATTAGCATACTCACATTTTCTGCACAGTATGTAATCCAAACCTATGTGAATTGTTCTCTTCAAACCAAACGTAAAATGGGAATAAACTTTAGCCCATTGTTAAATTCAGACAAATTTTCATAATAGCATCTACATGACAGTGTCACTGAGTTTACCTTCACCCACAACATGCAAAAACATCCTTCTGACTAATGATTATTCCAATGATGCCAGCGAGAAACTGCACCCTAAATGGCAACAAACAAGACCAGTGCGGTATCCATAGCAACATCAAAAGACAAACACATCTCGACATGGCCAGGAAGCTGTGAAGTCAAGAATCAAGAATTTGTGTGTGTGTGTGTGTGTGTGTGTGTGAAATTGGATCATCGGAGAGAGAGACAGTGTGAGAAAAAGAGTGAGTGGAGGAGAGACAAACCGTTTGTGTATCTTATTTGAGAGTGTGTGGTTGGTCACAGCCCAGCCTGGAGGCTACATATATGACCAAACACAATTGTCACCTGAGACTGAGGGAAATGTAAATGAGTGAGATGAATTGACACTTTCTATTCTTCCTGGATTTGATGCTAACTGAGGCTGGTACAGTACATGGAAGTCAAGTCCATTTCAACCTTAGAGTGAAAAGGTAATGGTGAGATTTGAAAGCAAGAAATACAGTCACATTGCACAATATAAAGTCACAATTAGGGGGGGAAAATTACATTATTGAGATATAAAGTCATTGTAAGATATATAAGACATACCACATTAATAATTTTATTCAGCAAGGGTGTATTAAATTGATTAATAGTACCTTGCAAAAGGTTTATATTTCAAATGAATCATCTCTTTTGAACTTTCTATTCATCAAAGGATATTTCACAAAAATATTAAGCAGCATAACTGTTTTCAAAATTAATTACTAGTGAGTAGCAAATCAGCATATTATGATTTCTGAAGGATCATGTGACGCTGAGAAATGATGCTGAAAATCCAGCTTTGATCACATGAATAAAATACATTTTTAAATATTTTACAACAAAATAAGTTATTTGAAACTGCAATAATATTACTGTTTTTTTTTTTTTTTTTTACTGTTTTTTGGTCACAAAAATGCTGCCTTATTTTACCGTCCCCAAACTTTTGAACAGTGTAAATTCATAATGATAATAAAAAAAGTGTGACTGAGAAAAAGTAATTTTAGAAATGGGCTAGTAGAAGAGTAGAAGCCAACTCAGGGCCAATAAAGAAGTTAATCGGTTTAATTTATTATTAGCTGGTATCATATTACTATTGCTGGTAATACTTGGTTTTAAACTTAATGTTTTTAACTGCAATAAAAATTAATAACTAAGAACTACAAGCTGAACAGTAGTGTGCAAGCAATTTTTGAAAAAATCTTACCCGAAAACCTCTCACCTGCGTGGATGATAAACATGTTTGAAATAAATGATATTACATTTTTTTTTATTTTTCCAAAAACAAGTCCAGAAATTCTCTTCCTTCCCTTAGAAAAAATAAATAAATAAATAAATAATAAAAAAAATAATTCTGTGTTCAAGTTTAGATTGAAAAGGCTAAAGCTAGTTAAACAGGTTTGGAGGGTGTCTATTGACATACAGTTTCCTCAGAACATATTTGGTGTGATACATAGTTGACAATGTCGCATTATCACTGATTGAAGGAGCACATTGTGATTTCACAACAGCAACAGTTTCACAGATACAGTGAGAATGCCATCATAGAAATGCTCATAATCAAAACAGCAAAGAAAATAGTGTTTTTATATGATATAAATGATTTTATTAAAAAAAATACTATTTAAATGATTTTACATTTAACAATTTACATGTATTTAGCAGATATTTTTATCCAAAGCAAATAAATGAGGCCCATTTTGTCTCAACAAAACAGTAACTAAAAGAGTTCAAACTTACAGCCTCAAAGATATCATCATGAAGTCTTAGATCACAAGGTTGGCTAGTTTCATAGATTGCGATGATAACAGTGTGTCATAGTTTCTAACAATGACATGTGACTCACCCACTCTTTAAAAATCTGGTTCCACAAAGGACTTTTTACATCAATAAAACCTTTACATTGGGCAAAAGGCTCTTTATAGTAGAAAAGGTTCTTTAGAATTTTCAAATGTTCTTTTCATTATAAAAAATGGTTCTGTTTACTGAAAGGTTCTGTGAAAACCCCCTTTTTGGACCCTTATTTTTAAGAGTGTAGACAAACATAGCATGCTCCACATTCAATTATTCATTTGGTAACTATTAATTCTGCAGGAAGCAAAACATTTCAAAGCAAACAAAAGATTTATTGAAAAGGCATTGTGCCTTGGGGGGTAAAACAGTCACAGCGGTTTTATTAGCTGCATTTTCTGGAAAGACGTATAGTGACATTTGATTTAAAAAAAAAAAGATTGTGATATATGATACGATAAACATCATGTGAAGGACTTGTGCAAAATAACTTTCACAGATGTACACAGAGCCAATCTCAAATTCAGAAATAAGAAAGGTTTGTTGCCAGAGATACCGCTGTTTTGTTTTAAACTATCAAATATGCATGAATTTAGGAACATAATTTAAACGTGCATCACACGTGGGGTGGCTGACCTAATTATATAATACAGTGAGGTATAAGAAGTGACACACTGGCAAGAATTGTTGCTAATCCGGTATTAACAGAAGAAATTCTGTCTGAATGACGAAGTTAAAACATACTTAATTTTTACAGCAGAGCATTTACACGTTCACGGGTTGACAAATTCACATTAAATATAATTTCACCTGGCCCATCTGAACAATATCAAATGTAACAACAGAACGACCTGGCTCAGATGCTTCAATTCAAGTTTTACGAAACTGCGTTGACTTCACAGCCCTGAGCTTTAGACTGAACATGTGATGAAGTAATAGGTTGTTCTGTTCAAACTCTTTTGGGCTCCTTCAGTTGTGGGTTTACAAAAGTCTGACAAGCTGAAACGAAATATCTTCACCGACACCTTCATGTGTTCTCAGACAGTTTATTCAGTGAAGAACACGAGATCCACGGTGTCAACGCTCGATACATAAACTCCTGTCTATCATGGCCCATGTCGACCCGCTCTCAGCAAGTGCTGCTCTCTGTGGGGCCTGTGCTGGAAGTGTAAGTGTTGTTCTTTTTCGAGTACTTCATGGAGCTGAACGACACCCTCATCCTGTCCACCGTACGACTGCTTCGACACAGCAGTGTGTTCTTGACGTGCTCCCTGAACTCGTCCGAGACGTAATAGTAGATGAAGGGGTCCAAGCAGCTGTTGAGGCTGGCCAGGCACAGCGTGGTGATGTATAAGCCATAGCTGTTATTGGCCCAGCTTTTTTCCTGGACAGAGTAGTGAAGCACTAGCATCACATTACTAGGGATGAAGCAGACCAGGAACGTTATGAGCACCGTGACAATGAGGACCACGGCTCGTTGGCGGGTTTTTCCGGCACTGCCCTCAACTGCAGAGCTCCCAAGCGAACGAAGGAGAAGAACGTACGCAACTATGATGACCAACATCGGGATGAAGAACACAAGACCTGCCATCACCATGAAATAATAATAGGGCAGCTGAACGTCCAGGAACATGTTATCCGTCACATAGTTCTCCTGACTGACAAAGTTGATGTCATGGCAGGTGGTGATGTTGAGTTCTGTGGATTCAAATGTTTGCTTGTAGAGGTACAAAGGTGTAGTGCTGACCCATATGAAGATCCAGATACACACAGATACGATGATTGCAAACTTGTTGTTTTTCTTAAGCTGGGAGAGCGGATGAGCGCAGACCCAGTACCGCTGGACGCTTAGACAAGTGATGAAGAGGATGGAGCAGTACATGTTGCCGTAGAAGAAACCCACTAACACTTTGCACATCCCTTCCCCATAAGTCCAGTTATTTCCTTTCAAATGGTAAGCAATCTTGAGAGGCGTCCAGATAACAAACATCAGGTCAGCCAGCGCCAGGTTGCCCATGTAAATGGCAGAAGGGTGAATTTTCTTTGATCTGAACAGTAAGACCCATATCGCCATCGCGTTGCTTGGCAACCCCAATGCAAAAACGAATATGTAAATAATTGGCAGGAAAACGGTTGTGAGGCCGCTCTGTAGTATATCTTTAACGACCTCGTCAATGTCTGAACCCTGCACCACTATTAAACTTCGCCCTCTGCTTCTATCTGAAACAAAACAAATTGATTCATATTAAAATGAGTGAATTACAAACAAACAAACAAACAAAAACATCAGAAAAGTAACGTTAAATGAAAATATGGACGAATTAAAGCGACTCACTTATCTGCTGTGCCGAAGCAAAAATCACACAAGCGGAAAGAAACAGGATCCGGTAACTCGCGGAGATAGCCATTGTGTTTTTTCAAACTTTTCGTTATTTCTCAAACTGAATAACAGCCTGTCTCTTGAAGCGAAGTATGAACTCTGTGTTCCTCTCCGTAAAATGTTTTTAGTCGACCTGAAAGAAGGAAGGACACACCTTAACCATCAAAGGACACAAAGCAGGTCGAGCTTCCACCTGCATGACGTCACACGCTTGACGCATTCCAGTCAGATCCTGTAGCGCGTGAGTTTCGGGTTTTGATCGAAATCAACACGCGAGCTACGTGTGGGAGGAGAGAGAGAGACCACGAATGTGTTGTGGGTCATTTGAAACTTTTTCAGTTTTAACAATAACAGCTGCGTATTTAGGCCTACTTGTTATTCTTTATAGGAACATTCTTAATGTTCTTTTAACTCAAGCTGGTCATCATACATTAGCTTATTTTGTCCATTCCTCACAAGAAGGATGGGGCAGTAAACAATAAAATGAAAACAGACGTACATTAAAATAAGAGTATACACAAAAAGGGACAATACACTAAGAATAATACAAATAAACAATGCATAATAATAATAAATTCACAATAAACACAGCAAGTCAATACACAATAGAGTCAATGCACAGAATCATTTTTATTTGATCAAAATGACATTAAAAACTTGCATTGTCATTGTACCTAAAAACAACTTAGAAACAAATCAATTGAAATAAAGGTGAAATAAAATATAAAAAAAAACCTAAATCATAGAAATGTTGCCTTGTCAACTACAGTAATATAATAAACTAATAATAATATACTAGCACTGAAATAAAAAAAATAAATAGATAAAAGTAATTAAAAAACATTTTATGGAAATATTAGAACAAATTACGAAAACTAAAATAACACTGAACACAAGTCAGATATATTAATCTTCATAAAAACATTATGGCATATACAAGACAAAAACTAAAACGTACTGAGGTTCATTTAAAAAAAATACCTATTTGATAAAGTTGTACAACTGATAAATCAGATATTTATTAAATACAAATAATATAAATAACCCTATGATTTCAAGGTCACAAAGGCTCTGGATTTTATTCATTTTAGGTAATTATTCTTATATATTATGTTCAACCACTCAATCAATGGTTTATTTTTAAATAATTTCTTGCCATTGTACCTCCATATTTGAATCATGTGTGCAAATAGATTTTATGATTTAACTGGTCATATAAAAAGTTGCGTCATGGACTTTGGCCATTTTCTACCTGCTGTCTGTCTTGTTAAGAGGACAAGACCAACGCACACACAGAGCAAATCACAGGGAACATGACAAGACAAATTTATTGATAAAAACATTGACAATTCTTTAAAAAAAAATACAAAATAAACTAATTCAAACAAACAACATTCAAACAAATGTGCTTTGAAAACAAGTGGTTGCAAGAGTGTGCAAAGAGACAAAAAATGTCAAGAAAACATTGTGTATATGGTGCTGCCATTTCAGCATTCAGTGCTTTAGAACAAATCTGGACAAGGTTATTTTTGCTGGTCATACACTCACACATCACAGAACACATTTACATTCTTATAGAGCTGCTCATACACACATTTGGACAGGAATATATGCAAAATGGTTTCTGTAACAGGTGCTCCAAATCTACTTTTCTACTAAGTTTTTTCAGTCAGCTTCCAGTTAACTTCCACAGAACTGGATTAAAAGGTCATTTGAGAGAAGATTCTGAGAAATCCCACAACACAGAGAAACCTAAGGCAACCTGTATCTAGTGACACAATGGAAAACATGATAACAATGCTGCCTTCAACATTTCCAGAATGACGATGTCATCAATCAGAAGGACAATTTGGAGTTCCAAGAAGTGCTTCTATGAAACCCCTATGGTATTTTTACATATGGGTGAGAATTCATGGAGAGGTTTACTAATTGCTTGAATTACATGTGAAATGTCAACTAAACTAAACCTGTCCCTCCAGCCCTTACAACATTTAACATAATATAATAACAAGAGCTCATGCAGTTTTCAAGAGGTATTGTAGAGCATATCACAGATTTATAAAACAGTTTATGGTTTTCATACATCATTCTTAGTATGAAGTACTCTGCGTGTTTGAAGTATCTGACGTGTAGGTACTCTGTTTCTTTGAATACTTCAGTGCGCTGAAGGAAACTCGCATCCTCTGCGCGGTGCGCTCGCTGCGACAAAGAAACATGTTTCTGACACGTTCTCGAAACTCATCTGAGATGAAATAATACACAAACGGGTCGACGCAGCTGTTCAGGCTGGCCAGGCATAGCGTGCTGATGTAGAAGCCATAGCCGCTGTCATGTACTCCCAAATAGAGCAGGGAGTAATGCACCAGAACCATGATGTTACTGGGGGTGAAACACAGCATGAACATCACCAGCACCGTGACGATGAGGATGACAGCCTTCCTCCGCTTCTCAACGATGTTAGCGTCTGTCATCGAGCTCTTCAAGGCACGTAGCATCAGTACATATGCCACTATATTTACTGTGCAGGGAACTACAAATCCCACAATTCCCATAGTCAGGAAGTAGATAGAAGGGTAAAGTGATTGGCTAGGACGAGTGACGTCATGGCAAGTGACAATATTAAGGTTGGTGACCTTCACAGTCTGATCATAAAGATAAAGAGGCACTGTAACAACCCACACAACCAGCCACACACACACAGACACACCTGCCGCCAATTTGTTGTTCCTTTTCTGCTGGGAAAGAGGATGTACTATGGCCCAATACCTCTGGACACTAATACACGCAATGAAAGCAGTTGAACAATACATGTTCCCATAGAAAAAGCCCACCAGCACTTTGCACAGAGCTTCTCCGTAGATCCAGTGATTCCCGTTAAAATGGTACGCGATTTTAAGAGGAAGCCAGATTATGAACAACAAGTCCGCCAGTGCAAGATTGGCCATGAAAATGGATGAGGGATGTTTCTTTTTCGTCCTAAAGAGGAACACCCAGATGGCCAAAGCATTGGCTGGCAAGCCCACAATGAAGACAATGATGTACACCACTGGGAAGAAGATCTGGGTGAGCTTGCTGTTCAGTACATCTACAGCAGTGGAAGTCACCGATACACCCTCCTCAGTTTCATCACCAGTAAAGCCTCTGTCCGTGTTAGAATCTAGATCTAGATAGATAGATAAATAGATAGATAGATAGATTTATTCCAGATGCATCACTTCAGAGCTTAAATGATTCATACTAGACACAAATATTCATCATGGTCTGCATGAAACAGCACGTAAGCTACATTATGAAATCTGTCTGCTGTAAAGGAACAAATGTCTGCTGTGATCCACACTAGCATTACTCATCATAGCCAAGGCTAAACATTAGCGGAAGAAAACATGCATTAAAAAACTTATTGTTCCACATATACTTCATAAGCATGCTTAAACAATGTGAAATCAAACTCATACCTGCCTTCACAGCAAAAACAAAACAAAAACAAAAAAAGTAGGCTAACAATAAAACAAAAACACAAAATTGTACTAGACATGTAGGAAATTAATGCGGAAAAAAAATAATACTCTAAACCTGATGTAGATTTACACAAACCGAGAAAGTGAAAAAGCGTTACATTTTGTGCCCCGCTCTCTAGGCTAGGCTATACTTAAAAAATATATATTTTTAGACAAATCAGAAAGTAAAAGCTCATAAATATTTACATAACCAGTATAAGTTGTTATCAGAATAAACAAACAAAACGTTTTCATAAATGAAAGGGTTGAGTTGAGACACGCTTCGTGGTAAACAAACACATTCTTACCTTGACTCGACAGGTTCACGCTGATTAACAGAAGCACGGCGTAAATCCAGGTCAATGGGCGAGCCATTGTCCGGCGAAATTGACTTGAAAGACTGTAGTTAGTTGAGTTTGACTGTTTTCATCTGGAATGAAAACAGAATCAGCTCTTTATAGACATGTTCCTCAAAGTCATGCGACCTTACCTGGGACACGCCCTTCAGAGCGACGCATTTGATTTACACATGTGGACGGTTTTAAAAATGTAGCCTAAGCCTATGTTTCAGTTACATCTGGTTACATGCTGCAAATACATAACTTTAATGTAGCCTACCTGAAATGTCCTAAACCAAAATATGCTCTTCCTTTCTATGAGCTATAACCCTTTATAACCAGATTTTGATCCCAGTTTTTCTCATCACGAGTCGCTCGCCAGAAATCTTTCAGAAGATGCAACAATTCAAAGACTCTTAAGAATGTATAGTATAAGTAATATATAAGTAGTGATGACTGTCTATTAAGGTGGGTAAGTGAATTCCATACAAACAATCATAGGCCTAGGCTTATTATTACTTATAGCCTACTAAACAACGTTCAAAATGGTTTCTGCAAAACACTATTGCCATTATTGTCTCTATCCATACCATTTAATTAACTAAGTGTCATCTTGAAAATGTATAAGAACCTTTTGAACATAATTTTTGTATATTTTGGACGAATTTAGACGGTATCAAAACAGCATTATGTAGGCTAGTCTGCTAGGTGTATGCCTTGGGTTGGGTGGACATATGGATAAACACCGCCACCTAGAGGATTGTTTAATCACATCTTCCGCGTGTCATATAAAAATAAAAATAAATGTTTCAAAGAAATAAACGATCAAGTGCTATTACAGTTATTATTCATATTATTGTGGTATCACACAAATTCATAGATATATAGATACACAGATCTTTAATTGGCACAGCATGACGTTATATTAAATATACTCTATCCATGTTGTAGTTAAAGATTAGAATGCATTAATCTATTCATGCAAAGCCACTGAATACATACACTTTATTATTACTGACAAATGAATACATTGTGGATACATTTGAATGAATGAATATTTGTTAAATGCAGAGCTCACCTATTTTTTTTTTTTTTTTGTTAAATGCAGAGCTCACCTTTGATATCCAGATCTAATTTTAGTTGATTTCGTTTTTTCCTGATTTAGAAAATTTATTTTTCTATATTTTGACAATTTACATTTTTCAAAATGTAATTTTTGTTTTAAATTTCAAAATGTCTAATTTCATTGAATTATAATATTCAGATTTCCTGGCATCACAATCATTTGTTTGCTATTTTTGCCTGCCTACATCTCAAAATAGAGCAGATTTTCTGTCTGTACTGAGACGAGCCATAGTAGTACAGTAGAGGGTCCAGG